TTCTTCAGAATTTCTCCTTTGTTTTCCACGGATGAAAATGAGTAATATTACAGTGTGATGAACTTTTCCTCAAAGGGGTCCTATTATGCGTTTCCACTTTTTCAACTTGAGTTAGTCTGTAATGTTGCTGTTTGAGCATAAAAAAGATCTGCAAAGTTACAAAGCTCAAAGTCCAGTTCAAAAGGAGATATTTTATTTAACAGAAATCACTTTTCAAAAACTACAACGAACGACTCGTTTGGACTACAACGCATATTTTCCGGGATTTGTGATATCATAAATATCGACGAATGGGAGGAGACCTGGTTGAGCTGCATCACTATGTCAGAGACAGCTAGCTTTCCCAAGGCAGACGCACTTAGAGTGGTTACAATCATCCGGGTTTAAATCTCGCTCAAATTTATTTGATTTGGACGCAATATTTACACTGAAGCTAGCAGGCGGCTATGGTAAGGGGCGTGACATTTCCCGACCAGGCGCCGAGTGCTGCCAATCACAACACACACTGGCCCAGCTAACCAATCACAGCACATTTCGTATTTCAGAAGGCGGGCCTTCATTTGATACAGGAACTATTCGAGCCGTTCATGCCAGACTGAGGAGAGAGGTGTTGTAATAATGTAAAATATGTTAAAAATAATGTGTTTTTCAAACAACCTAGTATGAGAGCCTGTTCTAGTACACCCCCAAAACAAAATCAAGACTTTGTGAAAGAGCATAATAGGACCCCTTTAAGACAGGGAGGAGAGGAAAAATGAAGCGTTTGAGGGGGTGTTTGCTTAATCAGAAAATGCATATGCAACACATTACAATTATAAATACAAGTAATAAAAACATCTGTGTACGTTCAAGTTAGACACTGTTTGAACAAAGAACGTGCATGCACACACACACACACACACACACACACACACAATAGCCTCAAAACAAACGCAAATTCACTTTGACTCTGCAAGTTTCACACACGGTTTGATTTACCTCAGACCTCCTCAAAGCCTCAGGCACAGATTGATTTTTCACAGTTCGCAGGAGGAGCAAATACTGTGCCACAAGCCCACCTCTGCTGAAAGCGAAGCTGTGTCGTGTTTTTAAAGCCCGTGATATTCCTCAGACATGCCGCACAGAAAGCGATGTCATGGTCGTAAGAAAAACAGCAAGGAGGTATGTTTTTCCACATGCAATTTACACTACCTTGTAGTATTCGGTATACCACTGTAAAAGGTTAACATAATGATTAAGCTTGGGAACTGTTATTATTCTGAACCGATTCCTTTTTACAGAGGGTGCATTCACCAACAACTGAACTTTGAGTACGTGAGAACTTGTGTTTCCTGAACTTTTCTGTTTTACTAAATCTACAGCGAAAACTACAGCAATCAGCAAAGTTCGATTCCTGAACGAATGACTCTTATGATTCAGTTCTTTTGAGTGAATCAAAGCATACATCGCGATCGCGACTAGTAAAGAATGATTCTCGAAGGATTGACTCTTAGGAGCCGGTTCTCTTTGGCAAATCAGATCATATAGCGCAACCACTGAAATTTGATTCCCAAACGAATGATTCATATGAGTCGTTTCCCCCCCCAGTGAATCAAAACAGCCTACAGCGTGACCAGTGTACGGTCCGATTTCAGAATGAACGACTCTTATGAACAGGTTCTTTTTAGTGAATCTGAACACATGTGAATCATTCGAAACAGTTACTTAATTGCGAAATTAAGCACGATTTGACATGACATGGGGTTGTGGGGAAAAAATAAAAGATATCATGACAAATTTCTTTCCACGATGTACTAATTCGCAGTTATAAATCGCGGAAACGAATTATTAATTCGTGGCTGCGATTTTCCCCCGCATGTCATGTGCGCGGCTCTGTAGCAATTTAAGCGCAATTTATTCAACATGTCTGATTTAAAATAGGCCTAAACTAAGAGCGGGTCAGTTCGGAGTCCTAAAACCTGGAAGAAAAATTCAAATTTTCTGCGTCTTGTTCCATCGGAAAGTTTTATGTTAGGGTAAAATAAGGTCTGTTGTTAAAGGGGTCATATGATGCTATTTTACAGATCATTATTTTGTGTATTTGGTGTAATAGAATATGTTGACATGCTTTAATGTTCAAAAAACACATTCTTTTTCAAATACTGTACATTATTGTAGGTCCTCTATGCCCCGCCTCTCTCAAAAGCGCAGTCTGCTCTGATTGGCCAGCTGACCCAGTGCATTGTGATTGGCCGAACACTGCAAGCACGCGTCGGAAATGTAACACCCCTTATACCATAATCGCGAGCGTCAGCTTTCAAAGTAAATATCAAGACAGTTAATAATATCGTTAGTTTTACCCATAGACTGTATAAAAACATGGACGTAGTGTCCGTGACGTCACCCCTAGATTTCCGAAGAGCATTTTTGAAGCCTTAAGTAGGCGGAGCCGGCCGTCGCCATCTTGGCAAGCGCGTCACCGCGCGTCACTCCCGGATAATCAAAAATGGGCAAAGAGGCGGGAGCAGGTTGCTGAAGCCACGCCCACCTAGCTCGACGGTGGAGACAGCAGTGGCAATCCACCTGTCACTCAAGTGGCCACGCCCTTAATTATGCAGAATTTGAAGGCTTAATATAATTTAAACGGATGAGTTATAAAAAAAAATTCACCCCCTCACAGTTGTCATTCAAGGGCAAAATTAGCTATATAGACCAAAATCATTTTTTGAACTAGGCTGTAAACATGTTTTTTTCTGTTGTAAAGTTGTAAATTTTAACATGGGGAGTCTATGGAACTGACTCCCTTTTGCAGCCAGCCTCTAGCGGCCAGTTGATGAATTACAGTTTAAGTCACTTCCTTGTTGGCTTCACGAGAGCGAGGGGGAGTTTGCCGCTTGGTTTTACCATCAGTTCAAGCCCGAAAGGGCAACAGAGTCGTGCCATGATTTGAACTGCACAGAAAACTACTAACTTCAAATATAAAACAAGTCGTAGTGCTCAAAGGAGGATCCTTTAAAGAGCTGACAAATGTAAACACTTAAGGATTAAGTTGATTTTTGTACTTGTACACACAGGCTCAGTTATTAAAAAACAGTAGGTTTATATTAGAAGTTGGTCGTTGTCGGATTTAGTGTAGTGAAAGTGGGTTTTAATGCGTTTGCATGAATTGTAAAGTTTCCTCAAGTGTTGTGCCGGATACTGGAGTCGCTTTGCAATTGTAAAAGAAAAGAAAGAAGTTTAGATAATTCAAAGAATGTCATATGGCTTATGAACTGCATAACATCAAAGTGTCAACCTAAAAGTCAACGAGAAATGACTGAAATGGAGTCTAGTTAAATAGGAGTAAATGTCAGAAATAGAGTATTTTCTCAAGAATGGTTGCGTTAATGCTTTTTACTCAGAGTTGTAACGGCATACTTCCTCAGATAGACTGTTTAGTCATCATTTTGGAGGTAGTAGCATGTTGAACCCTCAGGTTATTGTAAATTTTGACAGGGTGCTAAGTCACTTTTCTTTGTTTCTGTCTTAACTTCTTTGTAGAAAGGTGACACTTCATTACAAAAAGGCAATGTTCCTCAGACCTCAAGGTTCCAGGTAAGATAGAATTTACAGTTTCTTTTGAAAATGTAATTCAGAACAGAATTCAAATATGCTACACTATCAGGGGAAACAGGGTACAAAGCTGGCAAAAGGTACGTCTTTGTACCTTGTGTATTCGTAAATGCTACATATTAGTACCAAAAGTGTACATAATATTATCTCTATAAAGGGTACCGCCCCAATGACAGTTTTGTACCTTTTTTTTCAGAGGGTTCCCACAGTCATGGAAAACCTGGAAATATATATATTTTTTTAAAGCTGTGCTTTCAAGGCAAAATCAGGTTAATTTCTATAGAAAAAAATCGTTTTTTTAAAGGTATGGTTATCTGCAAAATAATTAGCTTGAAATTGCTTTTGTGAAAGTCATGTCTGTGAAATTATTATTTTTAAAGGGGTCATATTATGTTGCTAAAAATAGCATTATTTTGTGTATTTGGTGTAATGAAATGTGTTTGTGGTTTAAGGTTAAAAAAACACATTATTTTCCACATACTGTACATTATTGTTTCTCCTCTATGCCCCGCCTTTCTGAAACGCGCTCGATTTTTACAAAGCTCATCGGTCTGAAAAGCAAGGTGTGCTCTGATTGGCCAGCTATCCAGTGCGTTGTGATTGGCCGAATACCTCAAGCGTTGATGCCCTGTCCGGCCGGAGCGACGAGACAAAAATATTAAAACCCATTATAAATGAGTCATTTGTTGCATCCAGTGGGGACATAATTACGGATTATAATGACTTATACTGTCTTTTTACTCGTTGCGTTGCATCGCGCCGTGTAAACAAAGCCATGTCTGCATTTGTGATCGGAGAAATGACAAACAACAAGTGCTACTCTACACTACTCAAAACTTGCGTTTGAATTGTCAGTGGCAAATTCTTTAAATATAAAAAAAGTACTTACGGTCTGTGAGTCAGAACAGCCGGCATTGTAGTCTACTCTCCCAGGATCAGGAAACAGTCCTCCATAAAATGTGCTGCACACATCTGAATATTTGGGTTGAACTGTTCTGGAACAGTGTTGTAAATACAACTTAACCACTGATTTCTAGTGTCCTCTTTTGGAAGGCCAAACAAAGTAGTTTTACTTTCACAACGAAACACATGGCAGGCTAGAGTGAGCGGAGGCCTAAGGCCTAGAGTGAGCGGAGTGCGGCGGGCTAGAGTGAGCGGCGGCGGGCGGGCTTGAGAACGGCGCGGCCGGTGGATTCAACGGAGGAGCGTCTGGCGGGCTTGCGGCAACCACATGTGACGACCCCGGGCTGGACTCCGCTTTGTCCACGGTGAAAGCCGATCCGGCGTGCCACAGCGTGAAGTTGATGTATTTCCTCAGCGACCTGCATGGATCAGCTCCAGGCATGACAAAGCGGATATCCTCTTTTGTAAGGCCAAACAAAGTAGTTTCGCTTTCACAACGAAAAAACACAGTGCCTTCACGACATGGCGGCAGCAACAATACTAAAGCGAGAATAAAAGTTACGCCTTCTTTCTTTGTGTGAACATTTGGGCGGCGTTATGCAAATCTTCCCACATTGTGACGTAGACATGTGGGGGCGTGTTAGAATGAGCCGTTTTAGGTAGGCGTGGTTGACTCTTAAATTTTATAAATAATATCTCTTTGGATTTGAGACTTTAGTCTTTGCAACTTTACAGATCTTCTTTATGCACCAAGAGCTTGTAACACACCAAAGAGAAAAGAAAAATTGAAATTGCATCATATGACCCCTTTAATAAGAAAGAGTGGACTTTAAATATAAATAACAAAGTTTGGAATCCAGTTAGCCATGAATGACTGAAAAATTTATGGAAATTCGTTCAAATTGCTAAAACAATATGTGTAATGCCTGCATAAAACTCCTAATCCATTCATCAAGAATATACTTGTCATGCTTTAGCTTCTAATGGAGCATTGCCACCCTCTTGTGGACATTGAAAGCCCTTGCCAGTTACTGACCTGTAGTTTAGCTGAATTATTGCCCCCAATCAGTCTAGTGTCGCAGATACTGTATGAACTGTAAATCTTCAACGCCATGAGTGTTTTATCACCCAACTCTGCCATGTTTGCACATCCAGCCCAGAAAATGTAAAACAGCATTCCTATATGACACAATTCTCCATCTACTTCAGAGAGCCATACCCGCAGAGACAGTGGTAAAATGCATTTATGAATGTGCAGTGCATGAAATATATTGATTTTTGTATAGCTAGGAATACACTTGTTTTCTAGAAGGCCCCTGGTGTGGCTGCAATGTTTCAGTGTCCTGTGACTGTGTCATGAAATGTTCTCAGGGACATTTTGTTACTATATATATATATATCTTGAAACTCCACTTCATCAGGTGCTCCAGTTACATTGACAAACACCGGGCACCGGCCTGGCAATGCCAGGGGCTTCTAAACTCAATATAATGCATAATGTTAGCTAGTATATTATAAATATAGAAACGTTTTAGGAGGATAAATTAAAAAAAAAAGCTTGAACATCACTGAGTTTTCTCAAGATAACACAGCTGGTTTGACTTGTTCTGTGAGCTCGCAGATGAAACACTCAGGTGTGTCTGCAATTATACATGCCAGATTATTTCATGCATTTACATGTCTGGGGATCAGAGATTTTTTTTTTAACAGCTTAAACCATTAATAATTAGTAGATTTCTGCCTTCAGGTGTTCATGTCAGCTAATGTTCACATAACATGAGTCTAAGTGCTTCTGATAGTTACAGGAAGATATATGGGTGTGTCAAACCTTTTGTTTCACCAAATTGTGCTTGTGTGTGCTTGTATGTGTGTGTGCACATGTGTGCACAAACACAGGATGTTCTTCTGCGAGAGATCGAGCTTCACTTGTTCCTTTATGTGTTGAATTACTCAAATGTGGACATCATGGCTTTTTAGTTGTAGCTTTCTATTTGAATACATTTGAAATGTCATTTATTCCTGTGATGTAAAAACTAAATTTCCAGCAGCCATTACTCCAGTCTTCAGTGTCACATGATCCTTCAGAAATCATTCTAATATGCTGATTTGCTGCTCAAGAAACATTTATTATTATTAACACAGTTGAAAACAGTTGTGCTGCGTAATATTATTGTGATACATTCAGGATTCTGGAAAATGGATGAATAAATTGACCTCATAATTTAGATTTGACCTTTAATATATTTGCCTTGTTTGACTCGGACTGGTGTTATCTAATTGCAGTGTTTGTGTATTTCTAAGTAGCACTCTGGAAATAATTAGCCATGTTGTGTCATTTGTAATATCAGGTTCCTTTGGGCTTCTTCCTCAATCGACATCATGAGGATTGACGCTAAGCATTTCAGTGTGCTGCTGTTGATTAAGGCTTCATATGTCGAAATGAAGCCCCCGGGAATGCAAGTCAACATTTCCAGTCAGGTGGTGACTTTGAGAGTTGAGAGGTTTGATATCTCCTAAAATGAAGTCATAAGGTAGGATGGGTTGTGCTATATTGTGATTATGCTAATTTGCAGAAGAAGAGATTTCAAATGTGTGATGTTATTCTCAGATCATATAATATAATAAAACACAGAAATTAGAAGACTGGAAATTTTTCTTTGCATGTCTCAGAAATATGACAAGAATCAAGGTTTGTTGTTTTCAATCAATTCAGTTGTAGTTATTATGTAAGGGATAATGTACATCCAGCCGGTTGTTATTTCAGAATAAACCCTGACAGGGTGATCAGGACCCCGACGTGAAGTAGAGGGGTCTTGTATCAGCCTGAAGGGGTTTATTCTGAGATAACAACCGGCTGGATGTACATTATCCCGCTTATTACACAGCTACTTGCCACATAAGTAAATAATTAGACGCAGAATATTGATTTGAGTTGAAATATTTGCACGCAACGCTTCCGTGAAGACAGCAGTTGCAAGCAAGCGGCAAATTCAAACTAGACGGACATTTAAGCGGTAATTAAACGGTGCATTAATTAAACGGTGCATTCAAACCACTTATTACACAACATTTCACCACAAAAATAATTAAGGCAATAAAAGAATTGACAAAAATTTTTTAAAACCTTACCAGTTTGTTAGTTCTCTTATAATCCATTACAGCGTACAAAACAATCGTAGCAAAATGGCAGCAGCTGCGTTTGTATGAAACGAGAGCGAGTCCGCGATACCAGGATGATATAATTAAATAACTGTACACCATTTTGAATCGAGTTTTAATATTTTATTAGCTAAACAAACGCAAAGCTTCCACCAAGAAAAAATAGTTCAAGCAAGAGTACAGCGCCGACAGCGTGTTATTAGCTTTTACCTCTTGTTATCGGGGGTTATTACACGGCTCTGTGGAATACTTGATTCTGATTGGTCAATCGCGCCATCCAGCGGTATGTTATTCCCAGATAACAACCGCCAAATTGAATAACACACCACTCATCCGGGTACTACGAGTTTTCTTGACCGGTACTACTTATATGTTTAACGAGTCACTCCGCTATCGTTAAATGTCTGGTGCCATCTTGTGACTGAAAACACTTATCCACCGCGTGTTACAATAGAAGACTTCAGTATTCATTTCAACATATATGGTATAAACAAATCTTTTTAGCCGTGTAATAAGCGAGATAATGTTCATCCAGCCGGTTGTTATCTCAGAATAAACCCCTTCAGGTTGATCACCCTGTCAGGGTTTATTCTGAGATAACAACCGGCTGGATGTACATTATCCCTTACATAACATACCTCGGAATGTCGCGACTGACCAATCAGAATCAAGTATTCCACAGAGCCATGTAATAAGTGAAAATAACACATTTTACATTTTTATGGCATTTTAACTTCAACAATGTATGATGTGATTTAAACTACTTTACGTACTCTTGATTGCACAATTTTCTGAAAGATTATTGAATTATTTTCAGGCAATGAATTTACTCCAGGTAGAGTTTGTAGGTAAGCCGATTTCTCCTGGTCTAAAAAAACTGCAGTGCTCGTTGACTTCTAGATTGGCTGTCTTTAGTTGTCTAACATGCATAACTGCATGTCCACGTCTGAAAATTTGAAATGTTCACACCCAACAAATCTCACTGAACTGGCATGCTTTGTTATCAGCATTTGGGGTGGATACAGTGCATCATGATTAGGCATTTGAGACAAAAGTTTTGTAAGTGCGAGTCCCTGATTTCAGCTCTGTGCTCACTGATGAATGAGGAACTCTTGCTAGATGCTCAATGTAAAAATAGAATGCTTCCTTCTTCTGAAATGAGACTTTCTGCTGGTTACACATGCTGATTAGGAGTGTTTTAGAGATTTCTTTGGCTTTAAAGTGATAGTTCACCCAAAAATAAAAAAAATCCGCCATAATTTACTTTCCCTCATGTCCTTCCAACCCTGTCTGATTTCCATCTGTGCAACACAAAAGAAGATATTTTGAAGAATGTTGGTAGCTAAGCACTTCTGATTCCCAATAGCTACCATTGTATGGACAAATATATGGAAGTTAATGAGAAGCGAAATAGTTTGGTTACCAACATTGTAAAAAATATCTTCTTTTGTGTTGCACAGATGGAAATCAGACAGGGTTGGAAGGACATGAGATGACGTGGAATTCTCTCTTTGGGTCGAGTCGACAATGTCTTTAACATAGTCTCACTTGGCAAGAGATGCACTAATAAAGCACAGGAAGTTTACTTTTCTCACTACAATCACTTTTGTCACATGCTACTATGAATTATAAGTTACCGCACCTCTGTTTCAATTAGTTTGTTTTGTTGGTTCAAGAATTTTAGTCTCTGTATGCACATCTTTGAAATGCACCATAAAACTAACCATAAACGTTTAACTTTGGATCATACCGTGTGAACATTCACATACGCCCTGACTATCCCTGCTTTAAAAGTGTCAGACGTCTTGTCAGGAGGTATAAATTCCACATGCTTCCCTATTTAGCCATTCCTCCTTCCCTCCCTCTTTTTTATTCTGCCTCCAGTAAAGTGACATAGCCCCGCCCATTTGCCCTAACCACTCCCCTGGCCCCTCCCCCTGCTCCCTGTGCCTGGAACATGCTGTAGCTCAGAAAGCAGACACAGCAGAGCCACATAGACGGCGTCACACACTCAGCACCGGTAGACATGGGCCAGATCTTCAGCTGGATCCGCGGCACGCGGGACCAACCGGCCCTGCAGGACGTCGCTGTAGAGCAACAGGTGTCGCTTACTGGACATAATCGTATTGAGGTCTCAGAGTATTGTGTGTGCATGGGTTTGTTTAGTATCGTGTTTGAGGTGCAGTGACTGACTTGGCAGTGTGAGGATATGATCATGGGCTTTTAAATGTGAGCCTGAGTTTGTGCAGATCAGGAGGTCTTGGCTTTGGTCCCAGCAACCGTCCGAGGGAGGAGTGCTGGAATGTGTGAGGAAATGTTTTACAAAAAGTGGAACTATAGGGACTTTTAGCACTTAAATAAAGCTGCAGCTACCAAGGACTTCAGTCTCTGTTATCTGTTTTACTGGCAATATTATGACAAATCCAGGTGTTGCAATGCACAGTATTGTTTGTCGATAGCATTTCTGGGTGTGTTTTTTAAAAGAGCAATGTGATTCATTTGACTATTAATGTTTCTACTCTCTTAAAAATAAAGGTTATCTATTTGCACCTTTGGTTATATTGGACTCTATTGGATTGGCTAAGGATTCTTTAGATTTTAAAATGTTCTTGGACTTTAAAAAATGGTTCTTTTAAGAAATGATGACTGAAAGGTTCTTTTGGGAACCCAAAATGGTTCTTCTATGGCAATGCAGCAGAAAAAAAAACTTTTGGAACCTTTAATTTTCATAGTGTATGTATTTAAGAGTGTATGATTTTTGCAGAATTTGCAATGATTCTGTCTTAAAAGTAATTCAAAATACCATATGGTTTGTTTTAGTTGAACATATTGCTTGATATTGCCTTCTTTGTTTTTTACTTTTGCTTTTGATACATTTTCCTACTGTCATTCTTGATGCTAATATCACCAGTTTGCTTCCTGCAACCTAAAACTGGTGTTATGCAGATGTCATGGGGAGCTGTGTCATTTTGAGCATGAGCAGAGCTCTCTGATATGTGGCTGATGTTAGCCAATGTTGTTCAGTGGGCTGCTATCCAACTGCTGCTCATTCCGACAGTGCAACATGTCAGCCTGGTTCAGCATCAGCTATGATGTTAATGGCCCGAAGGAAGACACTGGCTCACTTTCACTGTGGAGAATGTGTATTGTAAATTTACATACAGATTTTAAAAAATGTAACAAAAAATCCTATTGAGACATTAAGTTATATAGTTGTATATAGTGCATACACAAGCACATACTATAACTTTTCAGAAGTTTATTTATTTTAACCTGATTTTTGTCATATTACCTGATTTTAATGAACTATAATAAAACTCAATTATTTTGATTGATTTGAATCATTTATATTGGTAGAACATATTTTGATAATTATTTTGAATGTCTCATAGCTTACAGTAATGATGATAATAGAATTTGACAGTTTAAAAAAAAAAAAAGCTAATATCAAATATATAATCATCAACTAAAACAAAGCATTAAAAATTTAAGAATTTAGCAAAGATAATGGTAAAAAAAAAAAAAGTGTGACTGATGTCAAACTATTTGGAGCTTTTTAAAAGCTTCAAGGCAAGTCTTGGTATCTGTTGTTATCCATTTCCAGGTTAAGCAACATATGAGTACCGTATATAGGTATAATTATCATATAGTGCATGTAACCCATACATTTTAAAACAGTTTAGTGTTTTATATAGGGATGCACAATCAGAACCATTTGGAGATTGGTTGATATTACAGGCATTTAAATGTATCAATATCTGTCAACACTGGTTGTGCATTTGTTGAAATCAGGTATTTTATTGTGTATGCTCTTTTTTTTACATATATATTACCTTTGCCATCATCTTAAAGTTAATCTTTGTACATTATGTTGTGATGCCTAAATTCACTTGTAGCATTTAAAATGATTGATTTGTAGTTTTATTATTCATTTATTTATTTAAATCTGCAATTTAATGGTTGGTATGAATAGAAAATCTCAAATTAAGGCTAGATTTTGTTTTTTTGAGGCATTATGCTCGAATAAGTGACATCAAACTGAACTCTTGGACAAAAAATAATTCAACGAACCACATGGAGAACATTCAATTAGAAATACAGTTGCAACACTTCTCTGTGTTGGGGTATTTATAAGCATTAATTCTGTTGTCAAGTGATTTGAGTGTATTGTAACAGTGTAGTGTATTGATCTACAGTGGTTTGTGCACTCAGTTAGTGACGCACTATTGATGTGAACATGTGTTCCATCAGCTTGCAGTTCCAATAGCACACACAACTATTTCTGTACGTTTGAGTATGTAGGTGTGCAGATTCAGCATGAGAGGGTATTTTTGTACAGCAGGTTGTCTCAGAGATGGACTGTTAGATTTCTCAGCTGTCGACTTAATACAGAACATTGTCTTTATGCAAAAGCTTCATCTTTAATGCAAACAAGTATTTGTGCTGTCTGTCTTTTAGAGGTTAAACATCTGGCCTGGTAGGCTGTGCCCTTGAGTCCATATAGGAGATTCCCGCATGTTCTGAGCATGATCACAGACTGAATCAAAAACATTACTGTGTTAATTGCCTAATCATTGTGCAAACATGATGTCATACATCATGAGCTGTACACACTTGAGCAACAAGAGCTCTATTTTTTACCTTTCACCAAAGCTCTGTTCCAAATCCTAGTGAGTTACCTCCCTAGGCAACATTTTATGGCATCATAATTGTGTTAGACATCAATGTGCTCCCTAAAAAGATGTAGCTACCTAATTTTGGCCAAATTCTAAAGCATCGGCACATGCACTGCCATTTGTGGAGAAAGCAAACCCTAACTAAATTCATTTATGATGACTGAAAGAAATAAAATACAAATATTTCTATAATTATCTAATCTAATTTAGTATTTCTTTGTACATGCAGCATGCTGATTGTCAACTCAGTCTCTGTGTGCTTCACGTCAGGATGCTATTTTTGTAGCAGGCAGTAGACAAAAAGGCAGTTTACTAGATTTTGGAACAGAACTTGTTTTTTGAGGTGTTATGCTTGAATAAGCGACAGACAGCAAACTGAATTCAGATGCCTGACTCTTGGACTCTGAAACTCAGTCAACAAACCACATGGAGAACAAACTACTAAATATAGACACATTGCTGCGCAGGACGTCAGGAGTACCTTCAGTCACTTTCAAAGTCATTAATACTTCAAATGTTTAGATTATCTGGAAGTGTGAAAAGCTGAAAGAGACAGCGATGTTGTCAGATTTGGCGTCTCAAAATGATTAACAAATCTCTATTTTTTATTTTAATACATTTAATATAGAATTTATTTAATTTTAGTTTATTTATTTATTTTATGCATCTTAATGTGCTGACTCAACCAGATTAGGAGGTTATTTCGTCATCAGTGTCACAACTTGTGTGTTTAAAACATCAGATTTTTAAAGAGCTGTGAGTCAACCGTGTTTATATACGTTGGCATGCATGTACATATGCATGCATGTGTGTGAGATATTCTACTTGCCTTCTTGCAGTCAGTCCAAAGGTATTGCTATTACGACATTAAACTTCTTTTGTGTACTTTTGGGCCTGTCTTATCTTCAGCCAGTAAAAGTGTTTCCAACTTTTATGGCCACCCAGACCACAAAAGGAAAGCCATGATTGAAAGAAAGTGCATTACTTACCACATTAAATCAAAATGGGACTTGTGTGGATTTTAGTCCATCATTATTTAAAATGTAGTGTTTATTTTTTGGAAAAACTGACCAAAATATTGATCTTGTGATCTAAAGTAAAGACTATTAGCTATTTTTATCGGCTAAAAAAGGACAAGCCATTTGATGTCCCTCCCAAACTGTTTCAAATATGTCATCACAAGACAAAAACTGCACTTTTTGCACAAACTGAACTGACAAACTGCACATGTCTCTATCATAAAATCTATAATTAGTGCTACAAGCTCTAAATGACAGCACCGCAGTTATCATGGAAATCATGTTTTAATTGCCATTGAGATGAATGGGGATGTTAATGGATGGCTTTCTACAGCTATATTAGAAGTCAAGGACCGCTCAAACAAACAGAGCAGTGTTTTAATAGAGCGACCTCCAAGTTGTGTAGAGCGTTCGTTCACAGAACCTGGTTTGTTTTCGAATGTTTTCTATTCAGACTGTCTGTTCTAAGCCTGCAGAACTTGAATTGCACATACATAGACTCTCTGGCCTTCTGAGATTCCTAGATTTCATCACCGCCACATCTTGACCTCTGTGTCTGGGTGGGACTCTGATGACAGACTCAATTATTAACCGATAAGGGTTGCTATGCAACTCTCCTGTTTAGTCACTCACTTGTCCTGCAGAAGCCTGCTTCATGTGCACAATTCACACACCTCTCCATGCTGAAATGATCTCTAAAAAAACCCAGATAATTCCTATTTCTTTTGGTGATGCATTATATTATAGAAGTAAAACAGGATGAATTGACAGTTTGCGTTGACTTTAAACAGATGGACGGTAAAGAAATCTAATCTGGTTGTTTAGGATACTAAACTCAAGCACTGCACTATGTTGCGTTTGGTCAATGGTTCTTTCCTGTTTTCCTTATTTGGTTTCATTCAAAGGTCCCCTGCCTCAGAAGTGGCTCTGTGGAATGCAACTGCATTCCAGCACTCGCATGATAACAAATACAGATTTAGGGTGTATGTTGGAGTTTTGTGATAAGCACAGTGTGAATCTCAAAATCTCCACCCAGCTGCACCCACTGTGACTGATGTGTGAGCTTTGTCACCTGGACAAAAGCTTTATGTGAGATTGCACAAGCATTTAAGTTGTGCAAAATGTGCTGCTGTATTACCATAAAAGTATAGAGTAACACAGAAAAACCATAGTAATTACATTTTTGGGCATAATGGTAATTATATATGGAAATACTTATGACAGCTGTTGTGCTGCCGGGGAAGCAATTTCAAGACCGTCCTTTGTCGTCAGCCTCTCCCTCCAATTTCCTGTCTAGCTCTACTTCCCCTGCATCTTATGTTTTTACTGTTTTTACTTATGTATATATTAGGGCTGTCAGTCGATTACATGATTGATCTAATTACCACAGTACCAATCTAATTAATCGCGAATTAAATTTGGCTGTGAAGTTACCC